CACAATATACACTGTCATGCCCACTCTGACATTTACACGTGTGCACATGACACCTTAGACAATTCCATTCATGTGTTTGCACACCCATGCACACCCACACTCACTGCAGGCAGGAGCAGAGCAGCACCCCTTCCCCAGGCCGCGGTGCTCCCCACCCGGAAAACCTGCTCTCCCAACAGGCTCTCCCGGCCGGCCTGCGCCTGCACCTGCACCGAAAACCCTCGGAGCGGAGGCAGCGGCACAGTGTCGGGCGTCCACTCTGTGCTCTTCCCTTTCAGAGCTCACCAACCGCCCTGGGCTCATCCCTACACTCCCTGAGTTGGCCACAAAATGGCCCGGCGGCTCCCAGGCTAAGTCTGCCGGTGGGAATTTCCCAGCATTCCTCTCTCCTGACATTGAAGGAGCCTGTGCCTCCTAGTCACCCAAAGACCAGGGAATGGGGAGGGGTGCCAATGGCAGGGTGTAAGCAGAGCTGTGAGTGGTGGAGGGGTGCAGACTCCCCTGGATGGCTGATACAATGGTCTCCCTCTTTTCCTCAGAGAAAACAAAACTGGGGCCATCAGATGTCAGAATACCTTGGGCACATCAGGCCCAGCCCCTCAAGCCTCAGAGGCCCCACAGATGTGTCCTCGGGCCCCTTGCTGGCCTGGGACCAGGGGGCACGCTCCCTCTCTGTGCCCGACGTCTGCCTGCACACACCAAGCTGGGCCGTGGCTACACAGAAAATAAAGGTGACGATGGGAGGTAGCAGCCAACTTACAGGGTGGCCCGCAGCCTGGGCAAGGGACAGAACCCTCTGATTGTACCCTCGCCCATACCATGGGACAGAGCGGTGGCTGCAGCTTCCGGGTCCTCTATAAACACGGGCGTATCGGCATGATTCTCAGCTACAGGGCCGCAGTGAGAGCGCCGGAGGGGCTGGAGGGGACGCCTTCACAAGTGGAGGGAGGCGACGACGGGTGCATTGGGGACACAAGGCAAGAAGGAGGCTGCCCAGTGCTGATGCCCACGGCTCCTGCAGCCACACACGTCAGCCCTCCCTTGCCAGGCTCTCAGCCAGACAGGACGGTCTCTCCATGCCCAGCATTCTTGACCCCTGCCAGGGATAAACAGGCCCTGCCCACCAGACTGGGCTGGCAGAGTATGCGGCAGTGCCCTCCTGGAGTCCAGGGCCTGGGCTCAGCTCCAAAGCATGTCATGGCTGGGCACCCAGTCCTGGCAGGTCCCTTCCCGCAGTGGATGCTGAGGGTGCCACCCTGGCCCGCTTCATGACCCAGACATTCACCCACAGCTGCCGGGAGCACCAGCTCTCGCTGGCTCACAGCAGAGAACCCCCTGAGGAGGACCCTCTACGCTCCCTCCCCAGAGAAGGTGACAGGTAAATGGCCTCCCCACATTCGGGTGACTTCCGACGGGCCCCTCCCTCCCCAAGCTCCAGTGGATCCACAGCAGCCTCTGTTGCAAACCCTTGCTCCTCACAGGTGTTGCTCCCAAGGCAGGCCCCAGTATATTCTGGAAGGCAAACTCAGGAATCCCAGGTTCCCTGCCCACCCCGGCCTCCTGAGCAGGGACCCTGGCATCCCGATAGTGTGAGCAGAGAAGGATCAACACACGTGTGCTCAGGCCTGGACCTAGTCCACACAGACACACGTATGCACACGCATCTGCTCTGCCTCACTCTGCCCCACTGCCTATGCCCTGGTGGAGAAGCCCCCGCGTGGAAACCTGCTCCCAGGGCTTCCAGTCCCTCTCCACCCAGCCCTGGAGAAATGGAAATCAGCTGCAACTGCCTAGCATGTGGGTGGGTAACTAGGATGGTTGAGTGTCTGCGCCCCCCCCATCCCCGCCCCCATGGGTGTGCACTTGACTCTGGGACCTGAGGGGTTGGGAGCCCTGACCAGGAGGAGGCGTCTCTGCCAGCCACTCTGGAATCCTCAGCTCAGCAGGCCAGTCCCTGGGCTGGGAGGTGGGGGGCTGCGGGGGCCTGGAGGATCGTGGGACCAACCCCTGGCTATTTGGGGAGGTGGCCGAAAAGGGCCAGGCCAGCCAGGGGCCTGAAGTCAGTAGCTATTTCTGAGGCAGCTGCCCCTCCCTGTGTCTCAGGGGATGGCGAGGGGTCCAGTGAGTACCTGGGCCCAGGGCCCAGCTGCACTGGCAGCACAGCCCAGGAAGGGAGGCTGCCGCCCACACACACCTCCTTCAGCCGCCCTCCCTGCCCAGTGGGCTCTGACACCCCCACCCTCCGAGGGGACAGCGGCCGTGCACCCCTACCTTAGAGAGGACACAGCCGGTGCAGGGGCTGGCGCTCTGGCCTCTGTGCTGATAGAACGGCTTATCCTTTCTCTCAAGGCTCTGGTGGCTGGTGGGCCCTCCACAGGCCATGAGCTGGCCCAGCAGGGCACAGAGCGGCTCACCCCAGCACTGGTCCCTTTGAGAATATTGAGGACGTCCTCACCTCCAACTTCCACTGACATCCTCCCACATGCCTCTCCCAGCCCCGCGCAGGGCACACTGGGGACAGAGCAGGCCCCAGGTCCCTCCTCTGCCTAGCACCGCCTTCTCTCCCTCCCAGCCCGCCTGTCCTGCAGGCCACAGCGGGAATGCTTAACCCACCACTTCCAGCCTGCGGTGGGGCCTCAGACCACAAACCAGGAAGCGGGGGGCGGGAGGAGGAGCCCCCCTTGCAGAGGTTGCGCAAGCCCCTGCCAAAACATCTGGAGAAGTGGGTTGCTGGCACTGGCCCTGCCTCTTCCTCCTCCTGGGAGCCAGGGCTGCTCTCTAAGCCTCTCTTTCCTCATCCTCAAGTAGGGATCAAACACCCCTGGGAATGTGCAGACTCCCAGGGTTTTTGCAATGACCATGCACCACTTGTGAAATAAGAGTAAAAATGAATGCCCTCGCCAGGGGGATGAAGCCCAACTGAGGTCTTAGATTCCCTCCCGAAGTGAGGAAGAGGGAGCGGGGAAGGGGGGAAGGGGGGAAGGGAGGGAGGAAGGGGTCTGGGCACACAAGGCTGGAAGGGGCGTCATTGTTTAGACAGAATGGCGGCGGGGATGGAGGAGGAAGAACGGGGTGGGCGTCACATCCAGGCGGCCTGGCAAGCGCGGCCTGTGAGACGTTGCCCACCCCCGCCCACCCCCGGAAGCAGCTCTGGTGCCACAAGCCGCTGGGTGGTTTCCAGCGGGAGGTTGCTGCCAGAAGTGTGAGGGAGGGCAAGGAACGGGGAGGAGGCTGGGCAGATCTGGGCCATAGTGTCTAGGACTGGAGTTCAGCCCTGGGCTGGTCAGCGGAGAAGAACCGTCGAGACCAGGGTCCTCCAACTGGACTTGCCCTGAAATCAGGTTCCTCGCTCATCTAGGGCCCCAGTGACATGATTCATCCAGCACCCCCCACCCGACCCCCCTCTCACATTATCCTATGCCAGTTGCTCTCCCAGGCCCCATGGGTACGCCCTCGCAGGGCCAGGGCTTTCCCAGGACAGAGGTCGGTTGTGTAGGGGTTGGGACTGTGCCTGCCCCCGCAGAGGGGTCCTGAAGACCCAGGGAAACCCCAGCATGACGGAGCGGAGGGGAGGCTCTGTGGGGTGTTAGTGCTACCGGTGTGCCTTCGCTCCCCGGGGGAATTCCCCCTGAACAATCCTAAGCGAACAGCGACTACCCACAGGCCTTCCTTCCTCTGGGCCCCGCACGGCTGCTCTCCCCAGATTCCCCTGCCCCTGTCCCGTGGGGCACAAATCCCACTGGAGAGATAACAGGCTGGGGGGGCAGCTGGTGCTGGGAGTGTGAAGAGGCATCGGGGGTGGAGGGCAGCAGGGCTCCCCATTCTGCCCCTAGCTGCTGCCGGCACGGTGGGTTCCCGGTCCCCTTGGGTCCCCAGGGCCCTAGCCCAGGCCTCGGCCCGGTGAGGAGGCTGGCCATGCTCCAGGAGGCCCCCATGCTCCAGGGCGGGCGGGCTCCCTTCGGCATCCTCGAGGGGGAGGGGGGGGTCGGGACTCCACCTCCGAGACAGAATCCCCAGACGTGAGGACCCTGGCGAGGGCTTCCTGGGAGTCTGTCCACCCAAAGGACTCCCTGCGAAGGCGGGGCCCAAGGACCCGGTCCCCCACAAACTCCCCCCCCCGTGACCTCCACGTGCACCCCCACCGTGCAGGCTACTTCTCCAAAGCACTGCGCCTCCAACAGGAGCCCCTCGAGGGCCCAGGCAGGGCTCAGGACGGACCAGTCCCCTGGGCGGCATCACCAGCGGCTGGTGGAGGAGCGGAGGGCACGCGGGGCGGAGGCAGGTCACGGGAGCGGCGGGTCTCCCCCTGCTCGCCCCGCAGAGCCCCAGCACCCCCGGACCTGCGTCCAGGATGGGGGTGAGGCGCCCGGCCAGGGGATCTCCCGGGCGCCCGGGTCCCGCGGATCCACCTCGGTGTGGCCCGGCCCAGCCCCTCCTGCGGGGCGGAGTCGGCGCCCGCTCCCAGGCCGCCCTCCCGGGCTTCCGCCCTCCTCTGCGCAGGCGCCGGCCCCGCCGCCGGCCGGGGCGGAGCTTCCGGGGGTGGCTGCGGGGTGCGCTCCGCCGGGGGCTGGCGGGTCCCGCAGGAGTCCGGGCCCGGCCGCGGGATGCCCGTGCGGAGCGGGACCCAGGTGAGTGCGCGCCGCGGTGAGCGCGCTTCTCGCTCCCGCACGGCCGAGGGCGCACATCCCACCCGGAGTCGCACAGGCGGCGGAAAACCAGTAACGGGCGCACGGCGGCCCTCCCCCGGGTCTGCGGTTCCTAGGCGGGCGCCTGCCGGCGGGGTCGGCTCCTGGCCGAGCTCCATTTACCGGAAAAAAAAGTCGAGGGCCCGGCCCGAGGTCCTCCAGGGGAGGTCTGGGAAGGGACCCCGACACCGGTTGGATGCTGGGCACTGGGCCCGGCTCAGATGCCCCTGCCCAGGGAGCAGCCTGCCCGGCGCAGCAGTCGGCCCGGGCCCCGTGTCCGTCACAGCCGATCAGCGCGCTCCCTCGTAGCCCGGGTTTTGATGGAGTGCCATGGGCCCCTGGATTTACTGTACCGGAGGCTGTATGCTCTCGCTGGGAAGAACTAAACTTGATGCTCGACGGGATCTTATCATCG